TAAATACGTGCAATGAGAGGAACCGGCGACACTCCAGAACTGCCAGAAGCACCCTGAGGTGTACAGTACATGGATGCTTGGCCATTCGCCAAATCTAGTGCAAGATACTGCTTAAAATAAAAAAGAAAAGAAAAACACCGCATAAAAATTTCATTTATGAATAAAGAACAGCGAACCTGAAGCCGTCTATAGGCGGTTTGCCTTTTCGATTCCTCGCCGAAAGACCAAAGGTATTTTAAATATGCCAGCATCACTGGAGGATTAACGACGTAGCCAGGCGGAGGATCACTTTGTTCTGGATCGTACTTCACTCAAAAAAAAAAAACAAAAAATAACACGTTAGCAAAACTAATAAAGAGTTGCATGAAACCCATTCACCTGAAGAAGTTTTATCAATGTTGCGTGTGACTGACTTACTCGGCCACTTTTATAGCAAAGAGAAGCGAACTTCAGCCATGTTTCGGCATCTTCGGTAGGAGGAAGCACAAGCGTTCGAACAGATAACAACCTTTGCCAGACCTACAAAAAAAAACAGGCAACATATACGTCGCTTGAACGAAATAAATATACCTCAACGTTTCTTTTCGCTCCCCGAATACGATCCCGCCACATTCTCCTGATCAATGAAGCACGTGCCTCAGATGCAGGGTTCCCCGTTTGCAGTGTGCAATATTCGATAACCTCTTCCAGTTCTGCTAACTGTTGAACGCGCACCATGTTGCTGTATGCACGGTCGTAACTCTCAAGAACCTGGACGACACAAACACTTCAGCCCCCGTAAGGATGATATGAACGCTTACCAATGCCGCAAGCTCTGTCGCTAAGCATTTTCGTGCCCGTTCGGCATATATGCCCGCTTCATCGTACTGAAAGGAGGATCAGGGTATAGAGCACAATAATTTATGGCATTGTCTACCTTAGAACGCCGAATGCATAAAACCGCCCGGAAAAATGCCCCTGCAAATCCGGTTCCAGTGCCGTCCTGGCCTCGCGTAGGTACGTTCATTTCATCTCCATTATCCATCTGAGACACGTACTCTTCCATTTCATCCCATTCACCCATATTCCATGCAGCACTCGCAGCCTGCAAAATACATTCAAACATAAACAAATTGTAATCATGAGTCAGCTTATTTTGTAGTACCATTGGTGCCATCTGAAGCTGTGCAGAAGGTTCACTCCAAGTCTCCCTGCAAAGTGTACTCAACTCTTCCCATCGTGCCAATGCCACCAAGCACCTCATTCGACCTGTAACAGCCTTTTAGTATACAGTAGACATGATTGGACAGTATCACCTAAAGTGGGCTCCAACGACGCGTGGGGGCTGGTAGCTTGAGAGGCTTTTGCCGTGTAAGCATCGAGAGCGGCTTCCCAGCGTTGAAGCTTCTCATACCTACGACCATAATTTTCTGTAAGATGTGTGTTGCAACAGCAAATACTTGCCAAGATTCCTTTAGTTGAACTCCGAGGTTACGTTGTGCATATGTCAAAATTCCAACAGCCGCCTATGCTTACAAGGATAAGAGTAGCGTCGTACATAAAAAGCTTACCTCATGTTGGTGGAGTTGGTTGTTGACATGAATCAAAGCTTCAACGGCTCCAACAAGCTGGTGCTTTTGTTCACGAGCAAGGACCATATCAAACTCCATCTCTTTGTAATGTAAAGCTTTTGCAAACAAATGACACTAAAAAGGTGATGTTAAGCAATGAACAGAAAATCGCAATTACCTTTTCAGCTAAGCTGCCAAGCGTTCTCGTATCCACAGGCAGAGGGTCCTCATCCCGTTCCATAAACTCCGCCTATACAAGAAGGTAAGCAGATAAACGTGATGAACAGCGCGGCAGTTTACCAGATTCAGAAGAGTTCCAAGAATATCTGATGGAATGTTGGGAGACGTCAAAGCGTAATTCAAACTTCGTACTAGCTGTTTTTTGTACGAATCATTAAGTTGGGACCAGCAACTTACAAAGGCAACTGCAAACAACTCCCGTGCCACGTGAGGCTGCAAAGGAAAAACACTGGTTTACTGTCAAGAATGAGTTTAAGGACTTGCCTGGCGTTGTGCTAAAGGAGCACAGGTTCTTAAAGCGGGAGAAGGAGACTCTTTCAGCAGCTCTAAGCTGAAGTGTCGCATCCACTCTGACCAGTCTTCCTTTGTGCTTCTTTGAGAGGATTCCCATGCAGATCTTAAGTGTACCTCGTTAACCTGCGTGCCCCGTGTACTTAAGGCATTTTCGCCATCCAATTCAGCTCCATGAGATGAAGCAGCTATATCCGCTTCGGAAACTGCTGTAGGCCGTACATCCACCAAGATCGGGTCTCGCCGTTTAAGACGAGATTCAATGGAATCAAACTGCGGATGCTGCAGGTAACAAGATGTGAGTCCAGAATCCGATTATAATTATTGTTCAACCTGCAAGTGGTGACGTTGAAGTAGCTTGCGCACTGAAGGAAGAAACATGGTGAATTCTGCTCCAAGGACAGTAGCCAAAACACATATAGCATCCACAGCATCGTTACGCAACTCATCCTTCGTGCTGCGGATGAAAAACGAAGAATTTCCGTTATGCAACATGCAACAGTTAACAAATAAGAAGGAAAACCTTACCCATCTAGAACGCTCAACAACGGGTGTAGCAAAGAAGACACATGTGCAGTGACCTGAATTAAAATATTACAATTTGTATTCGAGTCATGAATTTTACCTGCATGCAAGGAAGAAGACGTGAAAAGGTTTTGATAGTAGATCGTCTTATATCCATCGGCGCATTTGAAACATCCGGCTTAAAAAGGCGGACTAAGGCAGGTAGTACTAGGTGCATGTGCTCATCCAGAGAAGCTGCAAAAACGTTCAGGACACAAGTAAAACCAAAAGGAAAAAATGGTTACCGCCAAATACTTCAAAAGTGTGCAAAAGAGACGCGACGTAGGCATAGTCAGCGTTGCGTTCAGCCTCATTCAAAGCTTGAATACATTTAGGTAGAATCTCTGGCATGTGCATCCGAAACTCATCGTGAAGAGCGACACAGAGTCTTTCTACAAGATGCAAAATCTAAAAAGACAATTTTGCTGAGTGAGTGAAATGCTTGACGGCGTCTTACTGGTGAGTGAGAAGCGGAACGAGGGCTTGTCGGAAGGATCATGTCTAGAACAAGAGAAAGAATGCTTGAAAGATACTTCCGAATGTGCTGCAACAAAAAAAAGTGTTGCAACAAGGAAAAGAACAGCTCAATCATACCTGACGGACAATTGCAACAAGGTCTGCAAGCTGACAAAAGATAAATTCTCGTAGATTATCTTCACAGTTTCTAATGGTCAACAAAAGGTCCGGCATGACCTGCGAATGGCGGATTTGTACAAGGACATCCACAGAAGGCACTTTCCACTTACCTGCGGTAGATAAGGTACGCAACCAAGACCCATGACCTGCAATCCCTTCCACTTTTTACGACCGCCATATCAATAATACCGTACCTTGCAGATGTACATAAGAGATTTAACAACGCTTTGATGGTATATCGATGATGAGGGATCTCGCAAAGTCCGCATGAGAGCATTGATTGCAACCTGCAAGCGACACATTAGTTACAAAAGCCAATGGATGCCGAAACCTTAACTGTTGAGTAATAATCTTCTGTAGCTGCCGATATTCCACCAGTAGGCCACGCTTCCATAAGAGACTCGTCATTTGTCTGCCCGTGTACAGTTTCTGACAAAGAAGAGCGATTGCCGTCGCTTGGATGTAGCCGAAGTTCGTTGCGTTTGTTGACGTGCGGATCTAGCGCACCAATGACTCCAAGTACCTAGCAATTTAGAGATTGAGCTAGTCCGTGATAAACAAATCTTCCAACCTTTAAAACTTCATTCCTTGTAGACCATTCGAGTTCCCCATTCAGCAATATTCGAAGTAGTAAACCCAGCAAGTGTGGAAACTCTGTATACGGTGTCACGACGTACCTGGAAAACAACAAGAAACGCATGTAATGGTCGTATACTACATTTGTAAATGCTTACCCAGTGTTCTGGACCAGTTGACCCAGTGTTCTCACAGCAACATCCCGCTTACTAGCAGCAGAAGTGTCACGAAGAGCATCCACAATTAACGGCATCAGGTCCTTGATATGCGGTCTTATTGCGCACCCAGCCTGTAAAAGAGCAAAGTCTGAGTTTCATGCCTCTCATAAAACAAAAGTGGCTTACCACTCGAGCAAGCTCCCCCACGGTTGCCATTACCCCGGATACTACGCCAATATTCCCACTACCTCCACTTCCTTCACTTAGTCTCGCCACCAAAGCCTGCATGTAAGGAATGAAATTTCTTCGTACTTAGAAGATTTTAACCTTATGGATCGGAATAACGTAAGGAGTTATTAGAGTTTCGCATGCTCTTATCAGCGATCCCAACAGAATAGCACTTTCCTCCTTGCTTTTGCTATCCGCGCTGTGTGTCCCACATATTAGACACTCAAACACAACTCAAATCCCAACCTGTGCTCCATGTCTGTCAAGAGCTGTTGCAGGTGACGTCTCAAAGCCGGACATACATATGCAGCATTTTTGTCTGACAGCTTCCCCGCCATTACAATGGATAGTTTTCTGACTTCAAACGACTAAAAGCAACAAGATTAGAAGCCATCCATACCGCCCAACCTAGCTATTACCTGGTCGTTGAACGCAATAAAAATTGCTTTCAAACAGTCAGCCTGAGCAAGAAAATCGTAGAAGCTCCCGTTCGTTCCAAGCGAAACAAAAACATCTTCTCTGACGGAAGCATCCGTATCAGAAACAGCAGCAACTAGAAGTTTTTCCAGAATCTGTGAACATGACCCGTAAGCATGAATAGTCAAAGAGAATATACAAAACGTACCTCTTCGATGAGAATCCGATGCTTTCGAAAAGTTAAAGGACGACCAGAAGTGAGTCTGGAAGCTGATCTGCCAGTTATAGCAGTTTGATACGAATGCTCAACAAGCCGACAGCAGCATCTAGCAGCGTGACGTCGGACACCAGCATCATCATCTTCGAGGTGCATAACAACTGCTTCTCGCGCGAACTCAAGTAAATCATGCCCCTGCATAAATCACTAAGATTATCGTGACATACTGTATGGCAAATACCTTGAAATTAAAATTGGTCAAAATTTTAAGCGCGAGCTGCACCAGTGCGGGCCCTTGAATTTCTGAAGAAGGAAGCCCCACCGCCTTCTGTGGCAGTCGAACAAGAAGACTTTTTCTTTGCGAAAAATATGGCGCTTTGCACAAAACCAAGGAAATGAAATCCAGTAAGCGCTCCTGAATTGGAGGTAAAAAGGACGGCAAGCTGTAGAAAAATCGTCAGCATTCAGTTTCGCTTCAAATAACCAATGCCACCTTGTCACTATCTGATTTAAGGCCTTCTCCAGCGTTGGAGTAAGGCCGGTATCGAACATAATATCCAGCGTACTGCGAACGTGCTCTTCCATAAGCGGGCCAAGGGCTTCAGTCAGGTTCCCAACGCATGCAATAGCTTCCATGGATGGTTTTCCGCGACGTGGTTGTAGCTGGCAAACAAAGAAGTATAGAATGAGAATATAAAAACCAACTGAACTGAAATAAAGTACTGCATCACGTATAAAATTCATAATCGCCGGCAGATATTCGCCAAGAGCGCATCCAACAGCACCTGCCATCTCTCCGAGTGCAGCAAACCCAGTAGAACGTTCGCTTGGATTGCGCATAACAGCTAAAAGATGATCCATGGACGTCTGTATCAGAAACGATTAGGCACTACAGCGGAAAGTAATAGTGGCACTTACAGTGAAGTAGGAAGTCACAAATCTATCCCGTAGAAAATGCGCAATGCGTGGCAGCAATGATGTGATGCTCCTGCGCACTAAACGGTCCCTGTGATCTCGAAACTTGAACGCAATGTCTAACACCTCCTTGTAGCGAGACATCATGAATTCTCCCGTGTTCCTTCGCAAGATCTTATGAGAACAAAGCCTATCAAGAGCTTGCAGTACCTTAAAAGCTCTCCAACAGCAAGCAGCGACCCGTGGATACTTTCGACAGTAGCATTTTTCCCTAGGCCATCTTGCGTAGCCTCAAACATTCGATAGTACCTGCAAAACTTGAGATTGTCGTGACATTAAAAATGAGGAGTATACACACCATCGCACTCTCCATCTTGTTTCCCGTGTTACTATCACCGTCAGACATGCCCGAAGAGCTTCTACAGCATGTTCACGAATAGCTTGCCTAGGATCACGCAAGGCAATCCAAATAGCGTCGACAAATTCAGGAACATGAACATTAAACACAGTCGGCGCTTGATCTGCCATCTCCTACAGATAAAAAGGAAGATTGGCATGAGCACAAGCTAGGTGAACTACACGCACCTTTAGAATTAGAACTGCCGCAAAGCGTCGAGATTCTCCTCTCAGCCATTTCAATGCGCATGACACCTGCAAGATAATGGTTGATTTCTCTGGGACTGTGGAAAATCTTACATACCTGAGACTCAACAATGTCAGCTGTTTGAGGACCCGTGCTCACAATATGTCCAAGAACTTCACTAGCACGCACGAGAACGTCGGGATCTTGCTTCTCTTCGAGCACTCGCTTAACGCAATTCGCAAACTTCATCGTCTTGGTTGCGCTCTCCCCGAGCTCCACATCGATGAGCACGTCGATTGCTCGCAATGCGCCCAGATTGTCACTTACATCGGCGCTCTCGATCAAGCAGTTGATGCGATCGTACAGAATATCTAGGAATTTCGTCAGGCCCTCGGCAGAGAGGTCGCGCGCCTCCTCCTGAACGTGCTTGCGCAGGGCTGCAGCGGCAGCTCCATCCTGGGATTTGGAGAACGATAGGATCGGATTGAGAAGCTTTCGAATGCGCGCTCACCTTGATCGACGCTGTCTTGAAACGTAGCTCGGATAGAAGGCGCTGCAGCGCATCTGGAGGCCGAGGCGCCACGCCTTGGGCGCCTGCCATGGCCAAACCCTAGAGTTCCACTTATCGCTTAAAACCCTACATTCTTTGGGAAAAGCATTTGAATGAATATTGCTCCAATTTGGAATCAAGACACTCCGTCACATTACTCAAGGATCAATGGGATTGCTCGCGAGTGTCATAAGTGAAGCGATTTGAATTAGAGTCCACCAACGTGAAAGTTTGGACTTTTTCTAGCATTCTCACTTCCAGGAAACAATTCGTAAGTTTGCTTTTCCACTATGAAAACCTGGGATGAATCACAAACAAGCAATGAAACGTATCAAAGATCGTTGTCATTTAGTATGTATGATTTCGATCAAGTGAACTAAATCTAACGTTCAGCACTTCTTTATTCCTTTCACTAGTATTTGCCTAGCCAATGCTAGGTAGTTGGCAAAGCCTCTCAAACTTACTAACATATCTTTGTGAGAATTTGCTCACATCTCACAATTTCCTTGTGAGATGATTCTTTTATTTTTAGCACCGGTCCATTGCTATCCATTGGGCCACAGGGAAAATTAAAAAATAAACAAAGTTTATTGTAGTTTGTTTTTATGTTTTAAGGTATAGTAGGACAGGAGTTAGTTAATATAAAGCTTCTATATATACAGCATTGATAGTGAATGTTGATGAATTGAATGGAATTAAGCGGCCTTGTGTATGAGTTGTGTCAACACGAATTGCAAGTTGTTGTGGTGATGTGCATCTTGAGAGTGCAATATAGAGCTGCCCATAGCTGGGGTAAGTAGATGCCTACACGATCAAAATGTTTGACCTTGGCATTTTAAAATTGTTAAGTAGTATCCAAGATAAAGAGGAAATTGTTTTCGAAACATATGGAATAGAACATCTGAATCAGAGGGTGTTAAGTTAATGCGTGGGATAAAAGTTCTAGTACCTTTAAATTCACATGTAATTATTTCACAGTCCAAAATTTTAGATGAAGTTCTTTTGACCATTAATCGAGTTCCATTGCATAATCCAATTGTTGAAGATATATTTCTCAAAAGAATAACTATACAACCTTCTTTTAGTATCAATTTGTGTGGTGGTAGTCCAAAGGGAGTGATAGAATTTAGAAATTCAATTAGGAAATTTTTAGGGTGTTTAACATCAATGGAGTCAATGTTAGTATAAATTTGAGGTGGACTTGGTAATTGAGAGATAATGTTGTTGTTAATTAGAAATGTATCATCATTAAGAGGTGTTAAAATGGCTCTATTTGCTACAATTTGAACATTTGAAATATTTTCAATACATGGGAATACAAAATCAATAATAAAGGTACTTTTAATTAGTTCTGAAGGAAAAAGGATAGAATCAAGTGGTAAAATAGGGTTTTGTGTGTAATTATTTCCATCACCAACTTTCAATAGCCATTCTACCCAGTCTGAGAACTTGGGGCTAAGCCGCATATTTTTTTGTAATTAAAACTTTCTAAATAGATTCTATAGACTATTCATTCTTACAAATGTGGAAACAATTTATGCTCGATGACTGTGTGGGACAATTAATAATGTTTTACGGAAGTCACCACTTGTAACAATAACAATGCCACCGAATGGAGAATTGTTCTGTTTCAAGTCTCGTAGGCAGCGGTTGACACCTGAAAAAGCAAATGTATGAACCATACTAATTTCATCCCAAATAAGCACTTATATTGTTTTCATAGATCTACTGGCATTGTTATTAGGTGTTAAACTAGAAACATATGTATCATTAATTAGAACAGATAACTTAAAGGTTGTATAGGATGTTTGTCCATTGTGTAGTAGTGTGCTTGCAATGTTTGTCCATGCCATACAAACCACTTTTTTATTGTAAAACTCAAAATATTTTACCATTGTATTTAATAAATATGTTTTGCCAGTACCACCAGGGCCATCAATAAAAATAAAATGGTTGGTATCAGTCGGGCACTCGACAATATTAACAATTTCATTGAATATAGCTAATTATTCAACATTCAAGTTTCTAATATAATAGTAAATTTCTGTATATGAATGCTTGCAATTTAGTATTGGTTGAATAGAAGTATTTAGGATTGGGATAGGTAAATTGTATGATTGGTTTGTTTTACCATGTATTTTCATTCTTGAGTTAATGTCTATTAGAGCAAGTTTATATCGGCATACAATATTTGTTTTATCAAAATCTTCAGAGAGTTGATCCTTAAAAACATCCTAAAAATATGGTGGGTCTTGTGGATTGCAAAAAATACATATAAAAGTAAAGAGTTGACGCAAATGTGTAGGCATTTGAAAATTGCATGCTTCTTGTAAATAATTATACCACTCGTTATCATCATCAAGAAGACCCATAGCAACAGTAGCTTATTAAAAGCTTTGGTAAGTTACATCATTAACTGTTTTAATATTGTCGAAAGATGTCATTCCTTTTTTATGAAGAAGAATAATATATAAGTGGTACAACTGGGAAATATTGAGTATAGTCGAGGAATAACCTTTTTTTTTTTTCGACGTTGCCATACATTAACAAATTTATTGAAAACATAATATAAAGGTATTTTAACGTAGGTATATTGTCTTGCATTTAGATTATGAATATTGAGTTCGAATCATTTTGTTAACATTGTTCCATTACGTGCTGTTCTTTGCAAGGCATTGTGCTCCAAACTTTCTATAAAATACACATTTTGGAAGTCAGGAAGATGTACGGGCAGACATATTATAGGGTGTGAGCGTCCATGTATTTTAAATTTAAATATCCTCCAAATAGCTTTCGGTGCTGAAATGTATCAAATATTTATAAAATTCGTGATTTCATCCCAATTTAATACATTTTCAGACTGAGTAGCTGTTTGGATTTGAATGGTTGCACAATCATATCCTTTATAAACATATTGAAAAAGATACTTAATACTTTTAATTGATGCACATATTTCTATATTTATATGAGCTTTGTATTTTTTACATAAATATTTATTATATGGGACAATCCATCTGTTATCAATTGGAACATCATTTTTAAGGAAGGTGCGACCATTGTTTGGCCTAAAATATTCTGGGTACCCATCCACACAATATGTAATTTCGTCATTGAAGTTTTTGGGATAGATTTTGGAGCATTTTTTGTTTTCCATACATGGACTTTGAGGATTTAGTAATCCACATAGACCATGTATTATATGTGATGTAATTATTTCAAATAGTTCAGGCTCTAATAAAGGGTCAGGTAATTGAGCAAATACATATTGGTCAATAGTGTCACGGTCTTTAATTTTACTTTCATTATCTAATATGCCTAGGAAATGACAATGTGGCAAACCTTTTTTTTTGGAACTCAATGACATATATAAATGCAATACATCTTCCAAAGATATTATTTTGTGTAATATCATGGAGAAAATATTTTAGCTTCATGTTAAAAGCTAAATCAGGTCGGTCTTCAGGTCCTTCATTAGGGTGCAGATTTTGTAATATCTCAGGCCATTTAGAGTTGCAAGTGAAAGTTATGAAATATCAGGTTTTGAGTGTTTTATTACAATTGCCATAGCATCTTGGTAATTTTGTTGCATAGCTCTTGGGCTTCCTATAAAAGTAGAAGCTAAAATAACAATTTTTCCTACTCGAGCATTTGCATCAGCAGCTTTGCTAGCAACATAATCCATCAAACCTATATAAAAATCAACTCTCATATTTTTTTGATTAGATCTATAGTATTGTAAATTGTTGCTTTCAATTTTCATATAAGCATCTACAATATATTGTTGGGTGAGTTTTCCAACATGTAAAATTCATATGTAACTGTAGAGGTTGATAATGTTGAATCTCTTTTGGACAAACAATAGGCATAATATTGAAGGAGTGTTATATGCTTGTTAGAAGAAAGCTTGTCATGCCAGGCTCTATCTCCATGTGGAAAAAGTATTGGATAAACCATAGGATCACAATTAGCATTTAAAATAGATATATGTTGTGGTTCTGATGATTTTGGATGAATGCATATTTCACGGTCAAAAGGTGGCACACCATCTTCACTTTGGAAAACTATTGCAACATCATTATTTTGTGGAGTATTATATCAACGATGGTCTGTGCCTTCATTTTTAATAAGCATATAAACTCCACGTAAATTGCTACCAAAAATAATAGTTCTTGAAATATTTTCCCATTCCAATTCATACATCATTCTAAAAGCTTGTGCATATGGATTAATATATCGAAGTATTGTATCTAGTTGAAGCGGTAAATTATAATCACAGTTAATGTTAAAAGGGTTTTATTTTCTAATATCAGTAGCCTCATTGGAGTCTAGCATGTACAATTGACTATAGCTTGGATTTTGATGTTTTGAAGGATGTTGTGGCATAATTTTGTGATAGATTTGTCCATGAATTCTATAGTAGTATGGACCATGACCCGTAAAAGTATCAATGCTAGCTCCCATAGACACGAAAGCAAGTGCACTATTATATTGTCTTATATTACTCTTGAAATTAGAGTGTTTGTGTGAGTTATATACAGAATATAGAAATGATGGTAATGGAAGTATTGGAGGTATGTAGACCTGTCCACTCTGGCAACAAATAGACTTGTTCTCATTGGCAAAGTGTGAGGCATGACAATACTTACAAATATATGATAAGGGACCTATATTCATTGTCAAAACATATGTATCATTATATAGGTAATTGCTAGCAAGTGTGCTGCAAATCTGAGGTGAAGGGGGCAAATAGGAATTGGAAATTGACTGCTGTTCAGTGTGATTATTAAGATTTGTTTGATGTCAATACTCTGTATCCTCTTGAATATTACTATATGCTATATGTATGCTGGTGCTGGCTAGTGTCTTCAACGTTATCATTGTACGTGGAATATGTATGTCTGTGTCGAATAGCATTCAGTACATGTCGAAGGCGTGACATTATTTTGAACAGTTTCTTTTGGAAATGGAGATCAATTATTAGGGCAGATAGAAAGCAAAAGATATTTACTGAGGGGTATGGACAGGCATAAAAACTAACCTTTTCAATGCAATCGGGTGATGCCAAAAAAGAGTAGATTGATGTGTGTTACCTGATACAGTGTCTTCTCGCAAGACTTATATTTTTTCTACCTCACTGCGAGCGCCATGTTTGATCCACCAAATTGGGATCTGCGAGGCGCACGCTCCAATTGATCAGCCTGGGAATTCATGGAGCAGTGTGGCGCCTCAGATCTGCGAGCTCAAATGGAGGATCATCCCGTCACGTGGCAGCGATTGCAGATGTAGATGTTGTCAGGCTTCACATCCAGGTCAGCAAGGCTGTGCTGAGTGAATGTGCTTCAAAGCATTTAAGAGCTTAAATCACCTCGTCCCATTTCCTGGCAGTGGAGTAAGAATGAAGATCATACAAATTCTATGCACCACAAATACCTTTCTTTGATGGAACTCCTCACAAATAACAACTTGCGATGGGGTTCTCATGAGCAAAGACACCAGCGTTGACACAGTGCCTCCAATTTGGATTGCGAATCGGCAGTAGTGGCAGGGGCTCTCTCGCCGTCTCAAAAACCCTAGAAAAACATACAAAACAAAACCAATTCGCTTGACAGGCCACGACACGTGTTGCTGGGCCTTCCTCTCTCGCCACACATGGCTTGGCTGCCTCCCATTGGCCAGGAGCAAACATCAGCGCGATTATTTGCTAACATGTGGTTAAAGAAATAACCCCTTTACAGTTACCCCCCCATCGGACGGCCCCGATTGGCCAGATCCAGCGGCCCACAAAGTTCGGCATTTGCTCCTTATAGTAGTAGATTAGTTATTTGCCCACCTATGAGACCGATGGATTATAATAAGCTGTTTTGATAATCTTGTGAGCTATTAGTTTGCTGAACTCCTCATTGCAAGAATTAAAAAAACTTGAGGTTTAAGATTTAATGGTATGAATGGATCTGGTGCGGGCAGCTGTTCATGTTTCAAGGGCAGACTTGCCTCACGATGTCACAGCTGAAGATTTGGAGCAGGCACAGGCGCTGGTGACCTATGCAAAGAGCAACTTCCTTTTTGGCGTGCCTGTTGTGGATTCTTTAGTGGCTTTGCTCTACCTCTCCAGACGCCTCTATGGGAATGTTTGCGAAGTGCAGGCTTGCAGCGCCTCTTCGCGTGTTCACAGAACAGGTGCACTGTCTCGTCTCCTTCAGCGATCGTCTGGAAGCTGCCAATCTAACAGACTGGAGAATGTGATGCATTGCCTCGGTCTGGGTTTCCTTGCCTCCATCAAAGATATCTCTCATATGGTGTTGCAGTGTCGTCTGAATGTGAAGACATCCTGGACTGGGAGAAGCGTGCTTTTGGGGATCACGAAAGTATCAACACTCGACCTCTTGAACCTGCCAGAGCTCCTGCAGGCCTGCACTTAGGTGGGAAAATTGCTTGTCATTTCTTTTACTTACCGTGTGAAAGTTCTTCAGATGCTATCAAAGTTGCAGGAAAAGACAACTTCAGAAAAAAATATTTGATCAACAGTTAAAACCTAATAACACTGTCTTACCTTGCTCTAATGTATTTTTCCAACAGGCACAGGTAAGCGTGATCATCTTGCTCGTTATGTTGCTGAACTATGTTCACTTGGCAGAATTCCAAAGTTCTTCGATCTAAGATTACTTTGTCTCTCTGCCTTCCAGAGCCCAGGTATTTTCATCTAAGTTACAAGCTGATGATCTTCGGATGCAGGGTGACGCACGCTGTAAATGTTGGGGTCCATCGACCACGAGCTCGGTCTGAACGATCATCTAGCAGATCAGCTTCTAGAGTGCTTACGGGAGCTCGTTGTCTCCACATATAGCCAAGTTCAACACGATGAAAAGGAATGGGATTTTATCGACAAGGGGTGCTTAGTGCCTCTTACCGTTGCAGAGGCACGTAAATTCCTGGCAGCAGTACAATTCGACGTCTCATTATCGAGCATTCTTTTCCGAGCGTCTTGATGTCACATGAGATGGTTGTGACCGACGGCGCAGAGCGTCCCTGGCTTTTTCCGGACCCACGGTTCTTTATTGTCTGCCTCTAACTTGTAAATTTCTGTTATTGTGTTTTCTGCTATAGTGCTCACCTTGTATTTCAGATGCATTAAGACAGTAGACATTGTCCTGCATGTGGTAAGTCCGACCCTTTCAATATGCTTTTGAAGATAACAGTGACTGCAGGTTTGAGGCAGGAACAAGTTTATTGCACATGAGGCCTGAAGATTTTGTTTCTGCTGGAGCACCAGAGAATTCCAAGCCATGTTGTTTCCATTGGTTGTGGAACATTTGCAGACTCCAGCAAGCGTGCTACATTCATCTAGTCGTTGGCTCTCCATAATGCTCGAGAAGTATGGCAAGATGGAGATATCAGGCAAGCCAGAGCAGAAAGAGCTATCAATAGAATCCTTGGCACGGGGAGCTGGGAGATATAGGTAGGCATGTTTATTGAAAAGATGAATAAATAAAATACTAATAGCTAAATTTAATTGTAACTTGTTCACACCAGAAATTAACATTAAAGTAAGCTAATGTTATAATTAGCATTTTTTTTGCATTTTGTAGCATTACAATTAAATTATTCTATGAATATTCTATAGGGCTTTCACTTGCGATGCTGTAGAAGCAATTCAAGCACTGGTTGTCAATCACAAGTCCGAGGCATCGGCGGTAGTGATCAATGCACTGCCACAGCTGGAGTGTTGTCGTTCAGCATGGGGCTGGACAAGATTGGCCTCAAAAAGTGCAAGGTGTGTCGTGTGGTGGTCACCAATATGCCCAATATGCTCATGGATGAGACGGCCAATCTCGCAATGGTGCTACTGCTGAGGACAATGTAATGGATTTACTTGGCGGATTACTACATTCACTGTTCTTTTCTGGGGTAGCAGTTGTTAAAAGAAACAAAGCTTTACTAGGAAAATGAAGATTTCCCCCTCTCACACAAGGTAAAGCTCTTGATTCCTGGAAAGTTTCATGATTTCTTGCTTATAGAATCCTTCCTCTTTCATAGAGATCTTTGTTTTTGAAATGCTAGTGATCAAGGAAGTTCTTGCTTCGTGCTTCTTGTAATTTCTCCCTCTCACACAAGGGAAATTTTGATTCCTTGCTCCTCTCTTCCATCCCATACTTGCATTCCCGCGAGATCTTTGTTCTTGTGGTAGTCGCCACCTCTAAATCCATGTTAGGTATAACTTAGTGTGAACAAAGCACGAGTGTGGCATTATACAAAGTTTTTATTTAAATAATATTGATGTAAAAAGAATAACATTAAACTTTTAAATTAGGTTAAAATCCTCTAATTCTAAGTTAATGGTCTAAGTTTGTCAATCTGTATAGGAGGCTTGCTTTCTCTCTGTCCTGCTCGATTTCACGCTGGGGAAGTGTTTGAGTGTAGACCCTTAGTAATCTTAATAATTTGAGCAGCAACGTGGTTTGCTTTAAGAGACTCACGAGCATACAAACAAGTGGTTGGCCCATGAAAAAACTTCTAAAGTAAAAGAAAATAAAAATTAGTTGTGAACACTTACCAAGATCAAGAGCATTTTCAACATTCCATCACCTCAAACTTCTCAAAAATTTGCTGTAGTGACAGATACTGATACTAGTTCTTGCATGTATGAAACCTCTTGAGCTGTAAGAAGAAATTAATACATTTTTAGTCTTAAAATTAAACACAGAGATATGTGGCTGCCAATGGCTTGAAAAACTCCTGACTGGCAAACAGCTGTAAATCCTTTGTCTGAAGCTACAACAATTTCTAATAGCATCAACAGAAACATCCCTGTTTTTAACAAAATTTTGTACTGAGCACCTCCATGTATATAGGAACTTTATTGATGACACCACTTATGATGCAAGCTTAGGAATTATATAAACCATGGCAAGTATAAAGTGGTTCTACATCCATATATCTTTGTAAAGTGCCATGGCTCCTGCTGGACTGTCAATCAACTGGATTGCTCAGGATAGAGTTCTCTATTAGTCAATTTTACAGCAGAGCGAGAAAATGAAGTATTTATTTCACAAACAATTGATGAACTGGAAGTTGATGGTGTAAAACACCTTGTGGACGGCTTGTGCATCACCTCTAGCACAAAGTTGGTGGTGAGAAAGATATTTACTTTACTTGAAATAGTGCACCTTACATAGCACTTTCTTATTGTTTATTATTTTATAATATTTACTATTTAAATATTGTTAATACTAGTTTATGAATCATCTCAGACTCCTTCCATGTGTTATGTGTTGATTCGCTTGTGTCCCTTTTCTAGAGACTCACTTATTGCTCTCTTCGTGTTTGTTCCTCGAACCCTTCATTGGGAAGTTCCACTCCCGCTCTCGACCTCAAGTTGAAGCTTTTAGTCCAAACGTGTTATGCTCATTTGGCTTTCGCTTTAGCCACCACCACGTGGTGCCCTTTTAGCTCCACTTTGGGGCTTAGGGATTTGTGTCTCACACTAATTTGATCATAGCATCTTTCATGGCCAATATCATGGAACTTGTCCACCAGATTCATAACAACCCGGGCCACATTCTACACTTTGGAGGCATTTCATCCTAGCTCTCGGGTCCTTCTTGAACTTCATCTCGGACTCATCCCTACTATAATTTTGGAACCCCCTATACCCCCCCCCTGGGGGACGATCGCTTTGGGCTTTCACCCAACAGCTTGTATTAGTATTCGGAATAGGATTTGGACTCGGACTCGGACTCGGTCCCAGTCTCGGCCTTGGACTCGGACTCAGTCTTGGTCTTGGTCTTGGTCTCGGTCTCGGTCTCGGTCTTGGTTCCATCTCGAACTCCATCTCAGGTCCACATCTTGGACTCCATCTTGGGTCCATCTCAAACTCCATCTCAGGTCCATCTTAGACTCCATTTCGGACTCCAAGTGTGGGGGTTGGAGCCCAGTGGAGCCAGTTTGGCCAGGAAAGGCCAGTTTGGCCAGGAAAGGCCAGTTTGGCCCAGAAAGGCTGTACCCAGGTGTTGGGTGATGAACTGACCATTGGGAACTCCAAGACTAAAGTGAATACAGATCAACAAGCAGGGTAGCTTGGTGAAGTGTTCAAGAGCCGATTTTAGTTCCCCCGGGACATTGAATAGTCAATGCTCCCAATCCAAGCGTGGGTGGCACTATATACTTGGATACCTAGCGTGGTTTAACAAAACCCTACTCTAAGCCCATGGTTAGAGCACCTAAAGGCAGAAGGTGGGGAGAGTACCCATGAGGCTTGCATAGAGCTACAGTGTTCCAAAATGTTGTTCCAAAGTCCTAGACTATGGAAAGGAAGAGGAGCAATCCTCTAATGTGGTGACCAAGAATGTGGTCTTGTGGTGAGGAAGTTCCAGAGGACAGTGGGACTTAGTGGTCAAGCTTATGGGCCTTGTCCCAAGGGCAATATTGGGAAATATGGCCATGGACAGAAAAGAGACTTGGTGGGGACTATAAAAGGGATATTGGGGAAGGTTATCCCCCATGTCTGTGGGCATCCTAAGGATGCT